TTAAGTTTCTGGCATTCACTGATTGGAATTTGGGTGTGTTCCCGTTTTGCACACATTTGATAATCATAGACGTCGGAACCGGGGGGGGGGGAGGGGGGGCTAGGGGGCACCACACTTTTTTGCAAATATATACAAAACATATGATTAAAAATTAAGGGCTACCCTTTTCTTTTAATTTAGCCCCCCCCTTTCCGCTGCATTTCATTTCCGGAAATATGCATAGCATTACCGACATTTTTTTTATTTCATTTCCGACATATTTTGTTTTCATTTCCGACATAATTTTCTTTTCATTTCCGGAATTTACCTGTGCGGCAATTCAATGTTTTCTAAGTAAAAGAAAATTGAATTTTAAAAGTATTTATACCAAAATGTCAATAAAGAAAAAAACCCATCTATACCGTTAATACATATATGCATACATGTAGCACTAAAGTCTAGGTAAAAGTGTTCAATAAGCATAAAACTTTTTCACCACATTGGACTAAATAAAATTTCAGTGACAGCACCATACTTATGTCCAAGTCAATGATAGATTCATAAAATCGGATTTCAATGACTTATTTAATCCTTTAAAGTTTTCATAAGTAAAGTTATCAAATCTGTTAATATAGGTACGGCATATATATGTATTGGAAAAATGTCCGAAATGAAAAAAAAAATGTCGGAAATGAAAAGTTGATAATTACCAAAAATTCCGGAAATGAAATGCAGCCCCCTTTCAATTTGCTTCCGATAAATGATAATTAGGTATAGAACAATAGGTGTGAAATATGTTTTGATAACAATTATAGTCCGATTTCTGGTTAGGATTTACCTGGGTTTACCTGTAATTTACCTATGTATCATGAACGGGAAGAATAAATATTAACTTAATGTATATAAATATTTATTTGAAAGAGTGAATATATTAATTATTAAATAAAAAATGACTGCCATTTCTTAAAAAAACAAATAATTTTTAAAGCTGATAATTCAGTAATTGAGACCGATTTCTATTTATGATTAATTATTTAGTATAAATTTCTATTTTGATATAAAAGTACAGAAATAAACTAGAGGTACTGTGAGCAATGAGCACTGTGGGCAATGAGCTCACTTAATGATACCCCCGCCCCCTCTATGCTTATAATGTCAAAGTCCATGTTCTGCTGTGGCCGGAAAACTCAAAATATGTGTCGGATCAAAAAGTAAAAAAGAGGTGCACAATGGCAATATTTAGTTAAGATTCTGTGAATGTTTCATCAAATTTCATTCAGTGGTATGAGAGGAGTTGTGGATAAGAGATGTGTTCCCCAAAGCGTAACAGACAGACGGACGTACAGACAACTAGACGGACGGACGGACACTGATTTCTATATACCCTCCCACTTTTCAAGCGGGGGTATAATAAAAACATTTAGGTATATTATTTTATCGTCCAGTTTTCATCCTATATATGTCCATCTATCAACGATGGTACAGACTATACCAATTAAGTTACCAATTATCTCACCTATAGTCAAATTCACATTTTTCACATTTTCTCTATGACTGAAATTCAAATGTGTGCAAAACGGGAACAAACCGAAATTGGTACGCCATGTCGTATTTTTACTTTAATACCACGACAAGAGTTATTAGAAGCGTGCTGTACACATTTCAAATGCGTCCATTGATCAATATTACCGGTAGTAATATTAGTATTTCTAGTAATGGTCTCAAAAGCGTGTGATTTTGAAGGGAATGTGTTTTCTTATCTTTCTCTTTAACTGAATAAGAGGAATATATTGCTTTTAAATGATTGCTAATACAAAAAAAAAGAAAAGAAAGAGGAAAAATTTTTCCGGAAATTGTAATTTTTAAGATGTCGCCATTTTTTGTTCAAAAGACTCTACTTTCTTACTTCTATTTTTCCGGTCATTTCAATAAATCCGTATAAACTGAGGTCCCGTGCACAAGTACTTGACGTTTTTAACCTTTTGTTTCATAAATTTAAAAAGCCCCCATAAAATGATGAAACAAACAAAAATTATAAGCTGTTTCTAATTTCAATTTCTTTTTTTCTTTTTTTTCCGTTTTATTTTCATCAGTTTTCTTCAATTAACAATCTTCAACGGCCATTTATTTCTCATTGCATATTTTGCTTGATTTCTTTTTTTTTTTTACATAAATGGACGTAAGAATTAAAAATATTGATAATCTTTTTCTAATTATGCGTTCTTCGTTCTACGGAAGCCCGTTGAGGCCAGTCCAGGGAAAGAAATATTTTTTATTGCGTTTTTTTTTTAATTATTTTAATTATTTTTTTTAAATTATTTTTTTTTATTTTTATTGCGTTTAAACGCAAAAAGTATTGCGTTTAATCGACCTTTCCTTTGATCCCATAAAAGTATTGCGTTAAATCAATAATTAATGCGTTTAATCGCAATAATTATCAACATAAACGCAAATGATTTCGTTTAAGGCAAAAGATTGCAATTAAATGCAATAATATTGCGATTAAACGCAATAATTATTGCGTTTAAACGCAATAATATTTTTGCGTTTAATCGCAATAATTTTTGCGTTTAATGACAATAATATTGCGATTAAATGCAATACTTTTGCGTTTAAATGCTAAAATATTATTGCGTTTAAACGCAATAATTATTGCGTTTAATCGCAATATTATTGCGTTTAATCGCAATATTATTGCATTTAATCGCAATCTTTTGCGATTAAACGCAAAAAGAAGAGAGTAACGGATTCACGCTGATATTTGTTTCTTTTTTCTTTTGTACATTAATCTATGAGAAGAATTATGTATTGTTGAGCTTAATAGAATCAGATTCTTCTGAACAAGCACTTTCTGAATGGTTAAATCATGGTATGGATTTAAAAAGGAGAAAGAAGTGTCGGTCTGTAAAAACAAAGACAACCTTACAAAGAAACAAAGCTTTAGCATGCAAAACTATGCAAACAATTTTAAAGGAATTTCTGAAATAAAAGACTAGAGAAGAAAAAAGATGGAAAAAATATCACTCCACGTGGCGGTCACAGTTTACACCATGTACCTTTATAAAGGGCTTTAGGAAACGACTGATGACATGTTTAGACTTATGTATATGTACATGTACATATTATGTATATGTATATTCACAACCTTTCCTTTGATCCCATACTGTAAACACGAGAACGATGGTATCATATAAAATAAAAAAAAAGATTGAAATGAAAACAGATTGATCGATGGATACTACCAAATTTATATGGCTATTAATACCAATGAAACATTCTTAATTTGCTATGATACCTACGGAATTTATTAATGCGTTAAAAGTGTTGGATTCCAATAGGTTTAAGTAACTTTGGTTGTTTACTGAGGATGCCATTGTTAAACTTAAAATCTCACAAACTGCAAAACTTAGCAACAAGACACACCAAAATGGTTCTTCTTTAAAGAATCAGACCGTAGTATTCATGATAATTTTTGGCTAGCCGATGTTTGATTTCAAACTACAGCACTGAATTATTTTGTTAAAATTCAAAATAAATCCTTAAAAGGAGGGATAATTGCAATAAAATGTAAAGAATATTGCAATTAAATTGCGATTAAACGCAAAAAAATATTGCGATTAAACGCAAAGTTTTGCCTTTAAACGCAAAGTTTTGCAATTAAACGCAATAATTATTGCGATTAAACGCAATAAAAATATTTCTCTCTGTGAACTGGCCAGTGATACCAACACTATAGGGATATTGTCTTAATTCTGTAAAAATTGCATTAATTTTTAAAATACAATAAATATGATAAATCCCACCTTAATATTTTCTAAAATTTTCTGGATGTATATAATATTACGACTTACGTGTATATATCATGTATACGGCAAAAACATTTCACACGAAAATATATTAAAAATCTTATTTCATCTTAAAGTTATTGAAACATTATTATATTATATATTACACTGTATATTGAAACAATATTATATCATTCTTGAAAGGTTTGATTGACACATCCTTCAACTTTTAATAATTTTAATTTAATTCCAAATTAAGAAAAGTGGCAATTTTGTTGTGTATATTAATAATTATTAAGTCTCAATATTTTTTTTAGAATAAAAATATTTTTAATATGTTTTTGTGTGAAATGCTATTGCAATATATAAATCGTGATATTATACAGACAATTTGAGAAAATATTAACTTCAAATCCGTGCCTATTCACCTTTGAGTGCTGAATGGCGTTTTCCTGCTATTTTTTAGTCCGTTATTTCCCAGTCATGAGGAAGTATCTGTAGATATATCGACTAGATATAATCACGTATGTTATTTAAAAAAAATTCTGACGTCATCTTTTGATAAATTTCTTTTTATCCTGCACGCCGTCCAAAAAGTTACCTGTACATGTGGGTGTCAAATAAATTCAATTTATTGGACATCAACAAGTTACATTAAAATGAGAACAAAGGGCGAGATACATAAATTTATTAAAAAGCACTGATGGCAATGATAAATCTAACAAATTAATATTTACGTATACAATATTGAAAACTAGTAGCGTATTAAAATTGTAAATATTTCACTTAATTAAATCCTTTTGGAAATGGTACAAATAATCCACAATGATTTGAATGTTGCAAGAGAATTTGTGACCCCGATCATAATTTTCCCAAACGAAGTGTTCATTACTAATAGCTAGATTCATTTCACAACAATTGGGACACAAATCATTCGCGGGATTTTGTAGACACACACATGTCAGAAAATCAAAAGCATGTTTTTTTAAACACAACCTAGGGCTTTTTTCTTTTTTAAGTATCCATTTTTCCGCCTTTAACTATTCCGTTCATGAAATTGCAACTGAATTTGTATGATTTTTCGTTCGGAGGTTTTGGGACAAGTTGCCATATATAAATCCAGCATAGAAATATTTATCATACAATTGAAATTCAAAATTATCGAAAATACAAAAGTACAGTTTCAACAGTTTATAGATCTGTAGATCTTCCAAAAAACAAGAAAGATACATCAGAATGAAATTTTTATGAGGTCAGGAAGGAAGCAAATGATTGAAAAACATTAAAGATTTTTTGTCAATTTATTCGAATTAACAGATTCTCCAAATAAGGGTCAAAACCCACACATGGCCATACAGCAAATCCCCCACCATTGTGAAACAGAAACAGCACTTAACGGGTTAAACCCCATCGGGTGACCTGACAAGCTCGGATTCGGCGTGACAAACTCCTAACAAGATGTCACAGGTCATTTTAGGGAAGGTGATTCCATTGGTGTTGAAATGCTGAAGCAGGTTCTTGGAATTTGGAAGGTAGACCAAGTTCTTTATCCGGACAGGTTTATCAAATCTGTTATATACATTCTCACAAGTACTTCCATTTATATTTTTTTTTTCATTTTATCCTATATCCTCCTTCTTTGACATAAAGCAAAAGTAAAATGATAACAGAAATTTATTTCATACTCTTTGATTTCTACTAAGTTGATGCTGTATATGATAAATTCTTGCATGTGTTGCCCTCTGTATTTTATGTTGTGGATCCTGTTTCAGCGATTCTTGGTAGGATTGTAAAGCCCCGTGAAATTCCCCAATAACTTGCTGACAGATTCCAAGTATCTGCCAGGATATGTCTCTGTGTTTTGTTGGTACATACCTTCCATCATCGTAAAGGAGCAGTGTGTGAAGGTCTGTCAGTGACTGTAGATACTGAGATCCTGTCCCAAGGCGGTAGTTTGATAAAACAGACAGCATTTCTACCAATACAAATACTGGATAAAGTATAGCTTCATCATTCGGTGATTTTAATTTGGTCTCTTCTTGTTCTAATATTAATTCTTCAATGTATTGTATCCCAAGATAAAACTTAATATCCACAACCCAGGCGGCTTTCATTTTTCTAGACAAAGACAAATTACTTATTTCTTCACTATATCTGTTTCTGTCTACTGGTTTGGCGTAATACAAAATAAAGTGTTCTAAAAGTCTTCGTTTCATCAGATTAGAAACACCAAGTGCTTTATTGTATCTACCTGTCCTATAGTAATACAATGCTAAATACAGTGAATGCGAGATGGTTCCTATCCGTGACGACAATTTTAACATGTTGCACAGCATTTTTCCCAAATTATACATATGTTTATTTTTATAATGTGATGAATACTTTACAATCACAAAAGGGGTCACTGCAAGAACATCAGCTGTACACCACTGTAATGTTAATGATTTGTAAGGTGACAGTGACGAATTTAACAATGTGACCACAGATTTTAAAAATAAAAATAAATAACATTTTTCTAAATGAATTTCTTTTAATTCTTCTAGTGTACGCAAATCTTTACATGCACATCCAATTTCGTGACACATTCCTGCAGTAAATTGAATCCTACATGGACGGCTGAGGGCTGGCTCTAGGATAGATCTGAGTATAGAGCTAAGCAGAAGGCAGGGCAAGCCCATTCTGTAATACTGGTTAAGTTGATCTAATAAAGACTCACGGGCAATGCCGATAATCTTGTTCATAAACATATTGTTTTGTTGAATAAAGAAATTGGCAAATTTGCCACGGTTTACACACTGAACGAGGTATTTAAAACACTTGCAAAAGCATTCCAGTAGATTGTTAGGACTCCAATTCATATGTCCTACCTGTATTAACCAGAACATTGTAGTCTTCATGAAGTAAGAACACATTAATGGTTCTTCCACGTTCTTATTGATTACGTCTTTGAGAAATATTTTTAGGAGTCCATAGCATATAAACTGGGTATGATTCATAGTGAACACTAGTTTTTGTTCGGCAAGAGAAAAGGACAACCTCCAATCTAGCGTATATGCAATAGTAGAGCTTTTACTTCCAATAGCCACACAGTGGTAATTATCGTTTAAGATATCTTCAAGCACACTTGCAGGAGGCCATTTGTGTCTGAGGCATCTTTCAATCCAATGATTTGTACCACGTGGCCAATATTTGCAGGCAAAACACAGCGCCCTGTCAACTTCAATAGATTCATGCAGGTAACCACTGGAACATGGACCATGTTCATGAGCATTCTGGTACTTTATACCTCTAGAAAATTCTTCATGGGTTACCTGCCTCCAGAATAAGCTTGAAATGTAAATCCGATCATTTAAAGGAACTAGTGAAAAGCAAGCGTATCTAGGACGTGTAAGAAGCTGTAGTCTAACAAATCCAGGTGGTGTATCCGTGTCATCCATGAGAACAATGTCAAGATCTGATGAAACATAATCCCTTAACTGAGAAATGTCATTTATCAAGAAACAACGGTCACACTTCCACAACATGTAATCCCAGTCAGATGTTTTAAACCTGAATCCTTCTCTTCTACTACCGCTTAACATTCCTCTTCCTCTACATTCATGTTTACCGGTATGTATATTTTCCTCTATCATGTCCTCCATGTCCAGCACGTCCCTTCTGATGGTCACTTCTGTCGGTGTCCCAATCTTAGCACACAGACCAACATACAGGATCTCTGATAGACGGAGACTGTGGTCCATTCTGTAAATTAAGCAAGAAGAAGGGTAAAGACGCAAAATAGTTTAAAAACATAAAAGAAAAAAATTTACTTTTTAATACAGGATCTCTGAAAAACGGGAAATATGGTCCAATCTTTAAATGAAGAAAGAAGAATAATTAAGCAAAATAGTAAACATATGAGAAAATAAATTTACTTAAAAAATCATTTTTAGTGTGGTTATGTTTTCTATGAAATAAAAATTTTAAAATGCCTACTTACATGTAGCTTTTATGTGTTTTAAATATTAAATTTCTTTTCACATAATATTAAGGCTTTAAATTATCTCTTTAAATGTGAAATATGAATTTAAATGTTTAAATTGAAGAGATTTAAAATAGCTTGTTAACATGTGCTATGTAAGTTTTTGATGCAAGTGAGTTAATATACACATATACCATTGTTGGCAACAGAAACATTTTCGACATGTTTTCAACTTTACGGAAAATTACCGGCCGGTATTTTAAAAGAAAGTTTCAAATTGTTTAAGCAAATATTATTATACTTTGAAATTATAAAATAAATAATATTATAAATCATTTATAAAATTTGACATTGCAATAAATTAAAATTAAAGGTCAGCCAAACTGAAAAGCTTAAGCCTGTCTCGATTTCTAATGTTACCTCGGTTTTTAATATCTCATGCAAAAGACGCACACCTTTCATAAATTTAAAGGTGATAAGCATTTGTCGACGAAAATCCACGATTTCCCGATTTCCATAATAAAAAAAAATGGGTACTTACATGTACATGTATATACATGTTCAAATTAAGTGAGCACTCGACTCACTAAGCAGCCATTGCCTTTCAAGATCAGTTTAAATCAACAAATGTCACTTACCTGATTTATGTTGTTAATTTATATTGCTACCATTAAAGCTGTAAATTCCAAATATTTGATAAAATACAATGAATCGTATTTTTAATTTCATGAACGGCCATAATTTGTTGTATGCTGAGAAAAGGACTGTCTTCGTTCAAGGAAATACAAGAATGTGTAATCTTGTAGAAAACATCTGGTAACTGAAAAATTTAAAGTGTTCTAAATATAAATACCCCTGCTTTAATTTCACAGAAATTGACAAATTGTTCAGTAGGGGAATAAACAAATTTTGTTTGATCATAAGTTGTCCAATCATATCATTTAAACGTTTCCCCATCGATGGGGAATTTTCTTGTGTCAGAAATAAGTGTCTCGTTACTATTTAAAGACTCGATTCTAAAATCAGTTAAAGTATGAGTATTTTTCTTGCAATAAATATTTAAAGACACATTCATGGGATTTTTTATTTTAATGATATGTGAAAAATTAAACAAAGTTGAATTCAATTTGGAAAGTTTACATGAATAAATAACATAAGTTCATTTCCCTGCTGCATTTTTTTTTCGTGAATTAACACAAGTGATTAGTTTCACGTTGTTAATAAAATGTACCTTTCAAAATTGATAATAAATTATTTTTTTCGTCAATTACTTACTAGTAGTAATTTGATAGATTGTTTTGGTTATGATAATATTAGTTTATTTCTTAAAGCTCATAAAAATTTAAGTTTATTGCATAAATCTGAATTACTATCTCCGAAAATTTGAAGACTACTCGCTATTACAATTTTGTTACCAATGCAACAAGAGGCACATTTCAAAGTCAAAATTCATATTACTCAACTTTTTAAAATGAAGAATACCTGAACAAAATTATAAAAAAAAATGTTTCACGTACCCTATATTTTGTTTGAGCCGATATTTTATTTTCATCAGTTTAAAATTCTTAGGCTTACTAGTATTAAGAATAAAAAAAAATATCGTAGAGCTAGCACTCGTATGATGTTAAACATATTCAAAATTTCTGAATAAAATAAACTATTTTTTATTTGAATATGAAAACTTAAAAAAAAAAAAAGCCTTCTCCTTTATGGTAAAAGTTCCCATAACATTTTGGACTGTTTTCATTCCACAAATGTGTATATTTAACAAAATTGCTGTTACATGTATATGGTCAATTCGATTATATGCTACATGAGGAGTATAAAATTCAAAGACCCCGATTTAAGGTATATATTGTACTTCAAAGGTCGCTAAATTATCATATTGACTGACCCCCCCCCCCCCCCCAGCAATAATTGTTTTATTTTATGATTCATGAATTAAATGTAAATGATATCAATAAACAGTTAACCACCTTCTTCTTTACATTTGCTAAGTCCTACTAGTAGCTGAATGCAATAAGAGATCAAAGTACTGAAAGTACTCATGGGAGTTGAACATTGTTATCTGAAATAGGGGATCAAAGACATAACCATTCGTATAAATTTGGAATTTTAAAAATCTAATTTTAGTTGCTTTGATAAAAAAAGAAAATAATAGGCTTGGCTCTTTTGTAGTAAATTTCTTGAAAAGTGGCCGGGTTAGCAGCATTTTCTCACGGGCACTTGGAGTCTGGACCCCCTTTACAACTTTTTCTTTTTAAATATGGGGTCGAGTCACCTTTTTCCTATTTCTATGTTCTAATATGCATACATGTTATCGATAATGTGACCCCTTTGTGTCTGTGAGATGTTTTTGAATATTTTTTTTTGACTGATTCATTTTATGCATTTTTGGAAGAATACATGTACCAACTGTAAAATATTTTGAAGTCACAACAAAAACGATTTCTTTTAACTTCAGGTTTTCTTTTAGGGCTAAGGTACGGTTATCGTTGGGGATTAAGATACATTAGTGGGGGACCAGCATTTCATTGGATATTTAAGTCTAAATTAAAAGAAAATATAATAACTTTCCGAAGAAAAAAAATGGTGGTGTCTCCTGCACCCTGACCCCCCCCCCCCCCAACTACCTTCACCCCCTAAATAACACGTATATATATTCACTAATGTTATGTTTACTTGAGTGGAAATCGGAAGCTAACGAATAGCTTTTGAAGAGTTTTCCCCATTTATTTTTAGAACCGTGTAAAGAAAATAAATGTCTTTATTATGATTCAATGATTCCTATCTTTCTCATTGGCTGATATCCAAATGTAGAAAAAATACTACATTATATTCACCAGCACGTGATTTTCCAGCAGAATATAAGGATTTATTGTAAATTGATCGATCTAAAACCGATCGGGGAATTCCAACTTGATACAAGTAGTTTTTGGAGAGCTATTTTATGGGCTGTATATTGACTAATATTAGAAAATAAAATGATAAAATTTGGGGTGGGGTACATATAATTAGAGGGGTGCCTTCTTCCAATGCTTTTTTTTTAACTTTATTTTTAGTTTTTTGTTTTTTACCTTTTTTAGCTGCCAGTTTTCTTTGATAATCTGTCTTCCTTTCAGAAGCTATCCTATAAAAGAACCTTTCCTTCATGACAACATCTTCGCTAGCCAAGGGTTTTCGGTCCGCACCGTTTATGGGGAGCGGTGCGGACGAAAACGCTTGGCTAGCGAAGATGGACAATCCGCTATTAAAGAAAAGAAAAAGAAATATTTTCATTTCTAATTTTTTTTCTCTGGAGATGATTTCTTAGCCAGAAGCTTAGGAGGCCTAATATGCATGTAAATCTCTTGTGCATCTGTGTTTGTGTTCGATGCTATATGGAGGACAAATGTCCATGTAAAATCTCTTGCTGCTGTTTTTGAGTTTGACGTCTGTTGGCGAGGACTATTGAAATTGGCATGGGAGACCTCGTGTAATTTAAATCTATATCTACATTTTTAAAGTCTCAATCTACAATTTTATTTTACAATGAAATGGAAATATAAGGAATCACTGTTTAGTTAGTACTTGTATATTATGGCAGAGACATCAACCATAGTGGGAAACATGGGATAATTTATGTATAACGGGCTTCGCCCGTTATGCAAATTATCCCATGTTTCCCAGAATCGTTGATGCCCTGGCATACTATACTAACTAGACAGTGACTTTTAAAAAAGTTTGCCATGCAGTGCATTTTGTCTGAAAGCGTAAATGAGTGCGTTTCTGAGGAGGGAGGTACTGAGTGTAATTCGAAGATAGATAAAATTTATTTCCGAAACAAGTGCCTGTGCCATATACCCCGAATCTACAAGTACGGGGGCATAAATCACAAATACATGCTCTTTTCGATCTATCCATTTGTTAAAAAAGAAACAGATTTTTGCTAGATATTTTGCCCAAGACAAAAGATATAATTACTTTTTCTTCGTATATCCATAGTAAAAATAGCTGTAGATCTGTTAGTAGCTTATTCTTACACTGTACCTCAATTAAAAAAAACTACAAAACTTCATGTAACAAATCTTTACTCCTTTATCAAGTACTCTCGTAGTTGGCATCTGAACGAAGCATGTTGGACCGAATTATCTTTGAATCCAAAATGGCAGTATGTATAATTTTTTTTTTTGGAGAGCTACTTACTAGTATCTGCAGCTATAGTATAAATAGTTATAACAACAAGTTTATGCAGAAAATCTGTCCCCTTTAAGAACTTAAAGAAGGGAGGATAGGGCTATAAATAGTTCTGGTTTTGAACAAAGTATATTGATATGATCAATCAAAAGAAATTGGAGACAAGTTCCAAAAAACTCTCCTTATATAATACAATATGTCATATATCTCCTTATATCCATATATATTTCCATTTTAATTTTTTTCTCTGTGATAACTCTTTGAAAGTTATGGGATTTTCTTTCTTGATAATTGTGCCGGAATATTAATTAGGCAGGTCGATAGGTCAGGAGCTAAGGAGGCCTAATATGCATGCAAATCTTGTGCGCATCTGTCGCTGTGTCTGAAGCTAAGGAGGCCAAATATGCATGTAAATCTCGTGCGGCTGCTTTTGTGTTTGACGTCAGTAGGCGAGGACTATTGACATTCGCATGGAAGTCCTTCTTGTAATTTAAATCGATTAGTCTACATTTTTAAAGTCTAATTCTACAATTTTATTTCACAATGAAATGGAAATATAAGGAATCACTGTCTAGTAAGTATAGTATGCCAGGGACTTCAACGATAGTGGGAAACATGGGATAATTTATGCATAACGGGCTTCGCTCCTCTTTGGAAAGAGGAGTACTGTTATGTATGAGATACCTTGGGAACAAAATGAAAGGACCGCGACGAAGAAAATACCGTACAGTAATTATATAAATATTCTTTCCCGGAAAGAATGTGAGCAGTAAACTGTAGTTCATTTATTGTAGAAACCGGTTGTTGTGTAACCAAAAGGTTGCAATTGCTGGTTCAAGCCATGCTGCGGAAGTTTCTTGTAGTGTTTTTTGCCCTTAGACAAGAACTTCCTCGGCATTGTCTATATAATGTCTATTCAGCTGCATTTGGGTCCAGCTAATACTGAAAGTGTAAATGAGCGCGATTCTAAGGGAGGGGGTACTCGGTGTAAATCGGAGTTAGATACCTTGTGTTATTATTATACTATGGGCCAAAAATTTATTACAGAAACAGGTGCCTGTGCTTACTACATACAGGTGGATAATTGAAATTCAGCTAATTTAACAAGCAGATAGGCAATTAAGCTAAGTACAAACATATAAAAAAAATTAAGCGAATTACACATGGCTAGACAATTAAGCTACGTACAATTAGATAAATAATTAGGTGAAGTACACACAGATAGACAATTAAGCTATTACTTACTACGGTCTTTCTTACTGTTTCCAACATTGTGAGAGTTTGGTTTATTATATACCTAATGTGTATCACCCAATTTTACTGTTGAATTTACGCTATCACGTGACGTCATGATCTGATTTACCGGATGTTGTTTTCTGAATCCATATCACCACTCTCTGAAACTGATGACATAGTACGCAGAAATATGACGTTATTTTTCTTGCGCGTTAAAATGTCCCTTGTTATTATGCTTTGTTTTATGGATAAATGTCATGCAATTGATTTCTGAAGTTTTCTTTTGCTATATTTTGCTAGTTATCAGGGGGTATATAATAAATTTATCATTATAACAGTAACTTGATCCGAAGAGCCGTATCACACACTCG